GGTTGACCCCTGGAAGTTCCCGGCACGAAGGGTCCAGTTCAAGATGCATCGTAGCCAATCCAGGGCGCAAGGTGCCAAAATTTGTACGCATGTCACCCTCAGAGTTCCCGGGAACCTCGTAACCCCTAGGTGGGATGGTGCTGCTTGTCATCATCTTACTCCATCATGACGGATCTGAAAGATAATTGTTGACTCGAAGGTGCCCACTCTGCAACCACAGAGGCAACCGGCGTCGCCGCTTTGCATTTCGGTACCTGTGATGGCCGAGTTTCGTAGCCGAACATTGTATATCAATGTGTTGCGTCTGGTGGATGCGCGTTGTGGGTGTTGAATTGCGAATGTGGTTCCGTTACCTCAATCGCCGAGACGGTCAAGAGATCGGGAATATGACAGGTTATGAACGTGTCAAAAACGGTTCTTGTCGAGCGTCCCGGTTCGCAATCGATAACTCTGTCCGGTTGGTGGTGAACCGAGATTCAGGAACGCAATCAAGTCGAATAGGGAATAGACTCTTTTTTCTTCTGCGCAACGTCTGATCAGCTAGGAAGTTCCGTCAATATAGTGTAAAACAATCTAAAGACCATTACTTATGCAGAAAGGTATCATCCGTTCCCGAGCCGCGGAAGGCCTTGATGGGATCCATCCCGTATTCTTTCCCTCGGAGCCCAATCAATGCGGCCGGACGTATGTCCAGCTACAGCAGGTAATGCGCTGAATTGGGCATATTCAGGCCAGTCTAGAACATGCGGCTGTTGTGGTCGGGGAAGCCCCGTGATGGGAACTTCGGGCTACCGCAGTTGCTTTGCGGCGGTCACACGGATCCTATACCGCCGGGGAGGATAAGGAGGGGCGTGTTATGTGCGCTGGGTGAGCTGTGTGACGGACCGTTTTCTCGATTCTCGATCTTCGCCTGCGAGGTCGATGTTCGGTAAGGGAGGAGACTGAGAGGGAGTGGGACCGTCGATCGAATAGCATTATTGGCGGGGTGGTCGCCTGCCAGCTGTGAGACGGGGTGAAAGGTACGGCAAACCTGTTAGTGCCCAAGAGAACTGTTAACGTTTCGGGGCGCTAGGATGTAGAAACTCTGACAGTGGGCGGCTAGGTACCTTAGTATCTTATTGCACGCTAAACTGACTGGAGCCTGGAGGGAGCAGGGGCGACTGGGAGGTGCTCGCTCTGGAGTCTGGATTAGCGGGACGGAACACACACGCACCCCTCCCCAGCCCGCCAACACGACACGACACAGGAAGGTTTCCATAACCCGGCGCCATCTCGATGGGATCTGAGAATGACGTCAGAGGTCGTGGTGCTTTTCGTGGTAGTTTTCATATCTGGCACCTGGCTGCTCCCATGATTTGCTGAGAAAGGAAGGTAACTGGGCCACTGTTGCAGGAGGAGCAGCTTTTGAATGGATGTGTTTGTCGCGGCGTGATCCCCTGGGGCGACTACGGGATGCCTCGATATGGCTTGTCTGAACATACCGCTAAGTGATCCATTGATGAGGTTGATGGAGAGAGGATGAGGCTGGAGGTATGCAGGTTGAATTATTGTGCAGGAATGCACATGCGTATGCACAAGCGGCGGAGTTGCCGCGGTGCGGATGGCGAATCTGATCTGGCATGGGAATTGGATGCGCACCTGAGGATTATGCTTCTGTGACAGAGTTGGAGCCCCGTGAGAAAGAAATGTCTTGAATCCACGAAGCTGGTAATTCGAGAGTTGCATCAACTGATGGTGGAAAGGTGCTTTGTACAAGGGGATGATGGGGGACGGGGAAGGATAATACTGAGATGAGGGGTGCAGGTAAAAAAAAATTGAAGTTGGGGGCTACTTGGAACCGTTTGAGGTTCACCGTATCTTGAGGCTGGGGGGTGGGGCTCGTTAAGGTATCCCCTTGGTGTTTGGGTGCTTGGGTGAGGAGGAGCGAAACGGGAATTAAACAAATTGGACGGGAAACGACAAAAGTGCCTTGGAGAAAAACATGGCATTTTGGCAACAAAGGTGGGCAATCTCCCGGTGGCGTCCTTGCTCGTGGGTGTCCTATGCTCGCGCAAAGGGCGCAGGAAGATGAGAGTGAAAATTGGACCGTCGGGGAAGGAACTAAGGAAGCTGCCAGCTATGCTATCGCAGTGGCAACTTCAAGGCGGGCCAAGACCATCATCGTCGATCTGTTATTGTTGTACGGACGTTCCCAGATATCCGCGAGAGGTTCCCTGCCACGGGTTCACCGACTAGGTGTTGAACAATCATCTTGATTTGCTGTCTGGCGACTGCCTTGCCGCTAGGATAAAACAAGCCAAACCATCCCGTCCGGCCTTGGGAGTGGAAATTTACGTGACCTGTGACCGACTCGAGCGGCGCTTCGTCTATTTGTACTTTATCAACAACAAACCGAGCTACATTTTGCCTGTCTCGTATGAGCTGCGAGTTGAGCAGAATCTTGTTTTCACGGCGTTGTGGAAAGAAAAATTCCCAAGCTCAATTCCAAGCTCGGCCCGTGGCGAGCTGAAAGTGAGATTGATGGTGCCGCTGATGCTCAGGCCATTCCATGAAGCTTCATTTGTGACAGGTCAACCTACCGTTGTCTCTCGTGCAATTTAGATATCTCGCAGCGATTCTTCCCATCATCTCATCTTATTCTGGCCGCTCCCTAAACAACTGACAAAAGGCCGAGGCTCGCGGCAACACACATTATATGCAACCTAACACATCCAACAATTCAGTCTCATCTTGACTTGTTTCTCCTCGAACCTAATGAGAGATCGGACCGGAAAGCAAGTCTCTCTGCTCCCGCGGTCTGCGCCTGTCCACCCGCACCCATCCGGAACTTCTGCTCCTCTCCTTGGTTGTCGTTGCCGTTGCCGTCCCCTTCGTCTCATCTCAGTCCTGGTCAACTCCTTTTTACTCCATCACTCGTGACTTCCAGGTTAGCCTAGTTAATTGTGCACATCCTAAGTACCCAACCCGGGCTCAGTCCAGTCGGAGCTACTGGGTACATATGTAGCTTGCTTACGGATACCTGACGGTCGTATCCGTCCCTTCCCATCAACTGTGCCCGTCTTGTACAGGTCACCGTCACCGCCAGCACTTTCTCTTTTCAGTTCAGTAGAGAATCACCCCCCTCCCGGCCAGTAACATTCATCCATAAACCTCCCGGGTCACTACCTTATTGGACGAGACAACAACGGGACAGAGTAGGGTCCCTTGTCTTCACTCCCCATGCCTTCCGTCTCTCACGCCGGGCTCACAGTCACTTTCAAATCCAGCCAGTGCCTCTCCGTCTTCTGGCCGGCTTGCGCACACACCTGTCCCCTCTCACGTTTCCCCTCTTGCTCCCCTCAAGGTATCCATATTCTTACATACCTACTCACCTCCGGATACTCAGTCGCGCTTCCCAGAAATCATTCAAATGCACTTTCTCATTCCAGTCAATTGCCTCCCCTATGTCTTGCTCGCCTTTTTACTCTCTTAGCATCTTTTTGGACAAGTGTTTCTACTCGTTGATCCCTCCCTTCTTCCCTCTTCTTCTATAGATTATTAATACCCTCAACCGTGAATTCAAGAAATTGAGGTTACAAATGAACAAAAACAAAACGGGTTACAAGAAGTCACATCCACGTCTAAAAGCAAATCGAGTAACAATATCAAGAACACACCGAGTCCACCCTTGGTTTGAGCTTCACACCCGGACTTGATCCCGGAGAGAATAGAAGAAGGAGAAGGCGAAAGGTAGACAAAGAGCATCGCCTGGACACTCAACTCAACTCTGTAAGTGAGCATCATCCCATCACAACACAGGGATATCTTTGGCATCTTCCACTGCTCCCCGCCATCATATTCCCTCACTTACACAGAATACCCCATCCTTGTACGGATGCACTTCCTGCGCCGTCTATCCGTACAGCATGGTTATAATTATGGGATTGAATATCCTTGGCGCCGCAAGTCGAAAACGCGGGAAGGGTAAAAAACGGAATGCGCGTAGGCAGAAACGGCGAATGACGAAGGAGAAAAAACATGGGCGGCCACGGATGGGGAAAAAAACCAGATTCTAGTTCCGCTATTGCTGTCGCCCCCTAGCTGCATTCACCCTTATTTCCAGTACAGAGTTCTACTTGCTTCCTTGCAAGAAAAAGTCTCGCGAATGCCGTTGCCACATTATTCAGGCTGCTCCGGATCCCATCCCACCTATCCCAGAAAAGACCCAGGAGCAGAAACAGTAGCAATGGCAGAAGCAGAAGTAGAAGTAGAAGGAGAAGTAGAAACAATAGCAGAAGCAATAGCAGAAGCAGTCCAGTCCGGTCCAGCCCAGCCGCCCCCCCGGCGACAGGACAGAACGGAGAAAGAGACGTGCGCTCACTCGCTGAGTTGCTGCCCACGCTTCCACTTACCCCGCTACGCTTTTGAACGCCCACGCCCTCGACCCATACGTCCCACGCCCACCGTCCCACGTCCCACGTCCCATACGTCCACCGTCCATGACCAGCGAGCGACCTTCTCCTCCCAGCCCAAGAATCCACGTCCCAGAACCAGGCCTAAGACCAGGACCGCCCCGCCGAACAGCCACCCTCCAGCGCAACAAATCCTTGAGCTCGCTCCCCCGCCGTCGCTGCATCTCTTTCAAATCCAGCCGACTCCCGCTCTCTTGTCGCCCTCCATACACGCAGACCAGACGGAAAGCTGCCCATCGCACACCTCACATACCGGAAACCTCTCCTTCCAATTCCCTCACCTCGTCCAATTTCGACCTGATCAGTTCGCCTGTTTCTCGCTCATCACAGCAGAAGTGCAGTAGAATCATAATCTGAATCGTCGATCTCCCGGCTGTCGTCGTTTTACTCCACCACCCCTCATCACTCTTTAATCCTCCCCGCCGCACGACAACCAATTTCCAGCTTCCTCCCTCTCCCGATCGGCCTCCCTCTCTCTTCTTCCCCCTCCAACCGCTCAATCCGAAAATCCAATCCCTCCCGATCAGGTAGATCGAACATCACACGAAAATGGCCGAATTCGTTAGAGCACAAATTTTCGGTACTACCTTTGAGATCACTTCGAGGTACTCGGACCTGCAACCCGTTGGTATGGGAGCCTTCGGTCTCGTTTGGTTAGTCTTGAGAAAACATCATCCCTCGCAACGCGCGTTCGCTGCGACCATTCATTCGTACTTGCTGACACGTTTTTCCCGCTGCCAGCTCCGCCCGTGACCAACTGACCAACCAGAATGTTGCCGTCAAGAAGATTATGAAGCCCTTCAGCACTCCTGTTCTCGCCAAGCGCACATACCGTGAGCTCAAGCTGCTCAAGCATCTCAGACACGAAAACGTATGTTTCCTGCCGCCGTTGCCTTCTTCTCTACATGCACCCTGGGTGACATGCGCTGATAACCACCCAGGTCATTTCTCTCAGCGATATCTTCATTTCTCCTCTCGAGGATATCTACTTTGTCACAGAGCTTCTTGGCACCGACTTGCACAGGCTGCTCACCTCCAGGCCTCTCGAGAAGCAGTTCATTCAGTACTTCCTTTACCAGATCATGGTAAGTCTGTCCCTATCCGGGAGTCTTTTCCGGCAACCGAATTGACATGTTTTGGTAGCGCGGTCTGAAATACGTCCACTCTGCCGGTGTGGTTCACCGTGATTTGAAGCCCAGCAATATCCTCGTCAACGAGAACTGTGACTTGAAGATTTGCGACTTCGGTCTCGCCCGTATTCAGGATCCCCAGATGACTGGATATGTCTCGACGAGATACTACCGTGCCCCCGAGATCATGCTCACGTGGCAAAAATACGATGTTGAGGTCGACATTTGGAGTGCTGGATGCATCTTTGCCGAAATGCTCGAGGGCAAGCCTCTGTTTCCCGGCAAGGACCACGTCAATCAGTTTTCCATCATCACCGAGCTTCTGGGCACTCCTCCCGACGATGTCATCAACGGCATTGCCAGTGAAAATGTGAGTGGAGACAGAACAGAACTAAAAGTTGAATTTCCCACTGACAAGGATTCAGACCCTTCGATTCGTCAAGTCCCTGCCCAAGCGCGAGAGACAACCACTGAAGAATAAGTTCAAGAACGCCGACCCCTCCGCCATTGATCTCTTGGAGAGAATGCTGGTCTTTGATCCCAAGAAGCGGATAACGGCGACCGAGGCGCTCTCACACGACTATCTTGCTCCTTATCACGACCCCTCTGACGAACCCGTTGCCGAGGAGAAGTTCGACTGGAGTTTCAACGATGCTGACCTACCCGTGGACACATGGAAGATTATGATGTAAGCCGGCCGCTAAATGATTGTGTCGTGACATAGTTGCTAATGAAGATCTATTTGCAGGTACTCCGAGATACTCGATTACCACAATGTGGATGCGTCCGCGCAACAGATGGAAGAGCAGTTCAACGCACAATAGATAAGGGTGTTTCGGGGTGAAGCGAGGATAAGTAGGAGAGGGGAGGCTATGATACCACGCAAAACCATAACGGGACGTGTTTCCAGTACATTTGCACGCAACCATGGTGTTCGGGAGAGGGGAAGGGTTATTGTAACGTTGACAATGCAAAGGGCCAACAGTATACGCGATATAAAGGAATGGCATGCATCTTGGAGGTGTTTTTCTCTTTTTCACCATCTTGTTCAAACGGTTTTCTTTTTTCTGGGTCTCGAGGCTCTGGTAGAATAAAGTCCTCGGCACGGGGACGGCGACGGGCCAATGACGGGCTTGAAGACCCTGATTACAATGAAATGCTTTACCACGCAATTCTTGAATATATCAAGTGGGCCCCCCGTCACTAACTGGAGGCATGGATGGGCTAAGGCATCAGTTCGGCATAATGACAGAAGATGTCGCGGCAGATAACACTCCGGGGAGAAGAAGAAAAGCAGAAATCGTCCGATGGGACTGCCGTCGTGCCATGACCTGAGGGAAATAGTGAGGATGAGTATGGTTTGAGATGCTTGCAGGTCAACGCCACAATACGTGTGGCTTATAGATCGCCCTAGCCACGAATTAAGTACGTGTGGCTACCTGAGGTGCTGAGGTGACAAGAGGTGAGATTGGGGGGCGGCACGGTACGGACGGTGTAGCGAGGAGGGGTGGTGATTTGACGGGAACGGCGTTTTTTTTTCTGGAGAGTCCCATCTCATGCAATGCAGGACACGCTGGCGGTGCTTGAGATTAAGGTGAGATGAGAGTGAGAAGTTGACGTGGTGTTTGCCTCTCCGACTTTTCATGTTGTAAAGTCGCCTCGCCGATGTGGCGGCATGCTTGGGAAAAGGGTATCAGCAGGAGTTTACTCTCTTTGTTTTCAGTTTAGTTATGGTTTGCCTCGTGATGTTGCCAGGGCAAAAGTTTGTTGATTTGAAGGCTCGAGGGACATTGTCGTCGGTTCTTGAGTTGCAGACGACCCTGCTCTCTCACCATTCATCTGCTGTAGTCGGACAGATAGTACACATACACACACACACAGATGCACGTGCCTTTGGAAAGAAGAGTCGTCTTGAGAAGGGGGTAGCATAGGAACCGAGTAGCCGGAAGAGCCAAGTCGTGAGTCGTGAATCGTGATTGACGGGCGTCCATCTGGAAGTGGTGATGGGGGACGTGGTCGGTGCTTTTCTTTTCGTGCATGGTTGACGTGTCTGTGGTGGGACACACGACTGGATCACAGACCTTGAGTCCGGCCCTTGGCGCTAGGCCAGTTGGGGGCTTAGGGACGGATGTTTAAGGTCTGGAGATAACGAGGACTACATGTTCCATTTGGCTACTTGCCTTAGTTGTGAGAGGGAGGCAATCTTGATGTGTTTTTGTTATTGTCATTTGCGAAAAGTTGTTGGTAGCAAGCAAACGGTAGACTGGAGATGACTTGAGGTAAATGTATTCCCATACTGCTTGAGGGTGTGAAGACGGAGTGGTCACGGCAACCGCGATTCCCTGGCCGGTGTGGTGTGTGTACATCCTCTTGCAGTTCCTCGGTGCTGGGCGTAGACGTCTGTGTGTACCGAGTGTGAGAGTAACGTTTCTTGCCTTACCTACCTGTATAGTGGCAGGCATACTGGGGCTACGCGGGGTTCCGTAGTCCCTTTTTTCCCTTTGGTTTTTCTCATTCCTTCCCCATTGTTCTCGAACCTCGCTGGAACCTCAAACCCCTGAACCTGTCGTGCTTTTCAATGTGGGACGAGTGGTTCGTTTTATTACAACCCATCCCGACATTGATCTTGTCCAGACCTTACTGGGCTCTATTTTTAAAGGGACCGCATAAAACCATTCTGATAGAACGCGGGCAGAAAAAAACCAGACGGACAAATAGGAATCGAGGGGAGACGGCAAGAGATTGCAGAGGCGGCAACGAGAGTGGAAGTAGCAATAAAGTATTTACTATACTTTTGCCGTAGTGCATTAGCACTGATTCAACAACTCATCCATAGCCCACTCTCCCGAACCCAGCTCATTTGAATGTCCCCTCCGGTCCAATACAAAGCCTACCGCGAACCCACCGCGAACATCCGTGCTGTGTGGAAGCATTCGAGTCTCCCCTCAGCTCGGTTTCCTCTTCCTGCTTACACTCCGCTCGTCGTCTGCCACTCGCATCTCTTACCTTCAGCTCCCCCCTCCCCCCCAAAAAGAAGGAGGCGGCGGCGAATTACTCTCTCTGGCGTCGACTGCCATACTGCTATTTGACACTTCTTCGTGTTAGCAGTCCCGACCGCTCATCCATACGGCTGCTACCTAAGTCTTCCTTACGCCCTAATTCGCCAGTGCAACCACGAGGCAGCGGTCGAATCAACGAGGCAAACGGCACCACAGCGGTGCGACCCGATTTCCCAGCTCACAGTCCCACCTACGCCCTTTCGCGCGCCGCGACCGCACGCTCTGAGAGGAAACGATCCGTCACCGCTTTCTGCGAGCTTTTGTTTGGCAACTCGAGACAAAGCTTGCCGGCCGAGTTGGAGAGGGACGAAACTAGGCGGTATAGAAAAGGGACGACGGCCGACCACGCGAGTGCTCTCCCTACATAATTCTACGGCGAGCAGGAAAGTCACATTCTCTTGACCTCTTGACGACCAATCCTTCGTATAAAGGACAATAATCTACCCGCCAATTGCTCTTGGAGACTTGCAGATAATTTTCTGGCTGCTTGTCTCACACTACCCCCCCTTTGAGTGGACGGGGAATCTCGCTACTACGTCAGAACAGAAACCCGCAACCCCTCCTCAACTTTTTTTGGGGAGAAATTTCCCAGAAGACGAACGTCGCGCCCGCCCCGAAGAATTCGACGCCGATAGAGAGCTCTCACCAACGCTAGGATTTGCCAGCCAAAGCGGCAAATCGTAGTCCCAAGAGAGGATTGACCCACGCAGGCAAACTTGCGACGAAACGTGCGACGCATCCAAGGGGGACAGGCGAAGCGAGAGAAGAGGAAAACAAAAGGAGCCGAGGATATACATGGCAATGTCGTAGGAGTGGGCCTCGTTGCGCCAAAGAAGTCGAATTATAAACACAGTTTGAGGGATTCGTGAAGTAATTGGGCGATATTCGAAGCAACCCAGACCTCGTTTCCTACGAAGACGGCAAATTCGACGCATGTCCTCCCGTCGCCAGTCGTAGAAATCACCGAGAGACAGAGAGGCAGACAAAAAAAAAGAGAGGGAAACATGGATACTCCCGAGGTTGCAACACCAACGTCCGGCGCCGCTACGCCCCTGACGGTACCGTCAACGCCGGCCAAGCCAGACTTCATTCCGCTGGTGACTGTCGTCGACTTCCACCATGCCCGCGGACCCGAGGTTGAGATGTGGTTTGGCGCGGCGGAGGGCACCGATCCGGCAATCGAATATGACTGGGGCTTGCTGCCTTTTATGGCATTGAGCGACGGTGCGCATTTGTGAGTATGAACCCGATCATCGGAATGCAGATGGTTCCTTTTGGCTCTGCACGATGCTCAGTGGATGCGCACATCTCGGAGCCGGAGCACGAGCACTGCGGGCTAACACCTGGACCAGATCAAGCGAGGACTTCTCCTACTTTACGCTACTCCGCCCAGCTACTGCCACGGGACCCGCGACGTCCCTTTTTGGCATCTCTTGCACACGGCAGCTCGATGCCTCACAGCTACTGAACCGGCCCGCCGACGTGACGCGCTCGACAGTCCAGAAAGCCGTCGTCGTCATCGCCGACACGCCACAGCACTTTGGCATGATGCGCGAGCGTCTCAGCGTCGTCACGCAGGCTTGGTTCGCGCAACGCGAGTTCACTGACACGGAGATCTTGCGCCGCTTCCAGGAGAGCCTGGCCGAGGAGAAGGAGCGCGGGTTCCTGACGGAGGAGGGGAGCCGCGACCAGTACCTCGGCATGAGCCTGCGTGAGCTGGTGCACGAGTTCAAGTCGCAGACGCTGATGCTGTTCAAGTGTTGTCTGCTGCAGCCAAAGGTGCGTTTTCTCTGTTCAGCTGGCAGGCGGACTGGATAGACTGTTGGGAGCTAACTGATGAGTAGATGCTCTTCTTCGGATCACGGTGTGAAAGATTATGCATGATGCAGTTTTCTCTTATTTCTCTGATACCCGGACTTATTCGTAATCTCGTTGACTGCGCTGATCCGGAGCTAAGTAACTACGAGAAGAGGTTGGCGCGGCCCACGAGCTTGCGAACCAGCGATCGCAACTCTTTGCTCACTTACATGGGCCTGCCCCTACAGATATTCGGCAAGGTATGTTTGTCACTGCCGTGCCGAAGATTTTGTGAATATTCCCATGACTGATGACACCTACAGGGCAGTCTGTTTGGCCCTTACACCCCGCTTCAGCAGCTTGACATTCTCGCCGACTTTGGCACCAAGTCATACATTGTGGGCAGCACCAATTCACTGCTCCTTCAGCAAAGAGACCGCTATAGTGATATCCTCATTAATCTTGACGAGCACACCGTCAACATCACCTCCTCCTCCCTCAAAAACGCCTTGGCTCTGTCGGCCGCAGACCGCCGCTGGATCGACTACATTACCCAAGTAGTCAATGATACTTGGGACGACGCCAACCCCCAACGTCCAAACACCATGGGCTACGTCGGTAGCGAGGAATTCATCCGCCTTCAGTTTGAAGAGTACATACTGTCTCTCGTCTCCTCGGTGAAATACCGCAATCACCTACTGGCGAACCCGAACAATCCGCGTGCGCTCCTTCCGCACATTGAAGGCGACCCTTCCCTCGACTATGGAAACGAGTTCATCGAGTACTGGTCCCGCACCGAAAACCACCGCATATGGAACGGCAACACGGATTCCCACCTCTTTGACGTTGTCGAGCCGAGGCACCCCTGCGCCGGCGGTCTGACTATTGACGACGTGCAGCGTCGCATCGCCCAGCAAGTCCAGGACATGCACCTGGACGAACGTCTCGCTGTCGGCAAAGAGGTCCTCGGACGGAACTTTGCCGTGGGCAAGGAGAAGGCGTCCAACATGTTTAACAAATTCTACTCTGACCTAGAAGCGCTCCGCGAGGCACAGCGGAAACGGGCCGAGGAGCAGCGCCTGGCTCAGGAAGCTGCTGCCGCGGAGGCCGAGAAAGCCGGCGGCGGTCCTGCTGCGTCTGCCGCGGCGACAGAGGGGGCCACCAAGGCGCTGGGAAATACTGGCAACAAGGCTAGTTCGTACGTGAGTTCGTGGGTCACGTGGGCCGGCGAGAAACGCAAGGCCGGATGGGGTGGTGGAGGTGGAGGCGGCAGCGGCAGCGGCAGCGGCAGCGGCAACAGCACCGTGACGTCTCCGACCACGAGCAGTAGTGGAGGGTACGGCTGGGGTCGCGGATGGGGCAAATCCAAGACGGACACCAGCAAGGCTACTGGCAATGGCGAGAGGGATTCTGCTTCGATTTCGGGGTCGCGAGTATCTACCTCCTCCACGGGGACGGAGATCAACGATAAGAGGCCGCACGGGGAGAAGCACGACTTCCAACCGCTGACGCAGGGGTCGTACACTGAGTCGATTCTCTCGACGGGGTCGGTTGAGTCGGAGACGCCGGCGAATCACGCGGCTGATCGCCGGCCACAGTCAAAGGAAGGGGTTGCAAAGGCAGGGGTCGCGCCTACGACAGTACCTGCGGAGACAGCCGTGACCGGGGCCCAAGGCAAGGTGAATGGCGGAGAGAGCAACATCACCATCAGAACGGAGGCTTCTGACTCCGACGGAGAGGAGCAGACGAGACACTCATTGGCCGCGAGTACTGCTCTGCCACCAAAGGCGGAACAGCCGCAACAGCTTGAAAGCGATGAGGACGAGGACGAGGTGGAGGAACACAGGGCGACGGCGGCTGCCGCGGAAGCTGCGGCTGAAGCGGCCAAGGCCTGGGGCAGTGATCGCCCGTAAAGGAAGAATGAATGCATGTTGGCAGACCCAGTACGCGGCACGGCTGAGTTTTGCCAGATGACGACGGGAATGAAGGATGGATGGACGGCGAGCAGCAGCAGCAGCAGCGGCGGCGGCGGCGGCACGAGCTCACCAAAAAAAAAAGAGTCAGCCCAGTACAGAGTATCAGCATAGCGAAGCATTTATAGGGGATCCGGCTGCAGAGAAACCATTGTTTTAGCAGCAGCAGCAGCCGCATTTCCCCTCTCACATACGGCCTTGTTGGAGAAAAGGGGAAAGTTCAGGCGCAATCCACCAGCAGGGTGGTATATTTTGGTGTATCAAGAACCGCAACGGCCCCCTTTTCTCTCGGCATCTTTGTGTTTCACCTGTAGCTTTAATCACCATATATTATATGCGAAGAGATTGAGAAGCTGATTTCACAACCGCTGGGGTTTGTTTTTATTGTGGGAGGACAGGAATAGTTGGTTGGGTTGGTGCCCGATGTATCGTTTGCGTATCTGGAGGGAGAGACGGGAGAGGGCTGAATGCTACAGATCAGAACAGATGAGACCAATGAGAAGGAACACGGTTTACAGTGTGCTTTCAGCCCCGGTTTATCTCTGTGACTCAACCGTACAAAAAGTAACCGGTGCGTAGATGTCGGTGACCAGGTCGATACGTTGTGTCAGAGAGAACTTTGTTTGACCAGTCTCGTCTGAAACCTTTGCTGTGCTGAAAACAAACATCAACTTGCAAAGTGCTAGGAACGTTGTGAAGACTGAGTAAAGGAGACTGGGATTTGTCAGGGGCTGGCAGCCGGCCAGCCGTAAGAGGGCAGAAGTCTCACGGGCTCGGTAGACTGAGGTCTAGAATTCCTCGTGTTTGGGCGGTGGAGCCGGAAGGACGTCGGGCCAGTCGAGGGCCATGTATCTACATACATGGGAACGCGGTTATACTTGGGATCTTCTCTTTCTCGAGTAAAGCACCACTTACATGTATGTTGCGTGACTGCTTGGGGGATTGGGATTGGTGACGCGATATGCCTAATCTACTGTCTATGATAGAGCTAAGGTAGAGAAGGAAATCATATACGCTTCCTCTATGTAGGTAGGGAAAATGTATCTCTATTTTCCTTGTATTATTAAGTCAGGACACAAATATCTGTCTCTTACCTAGAAAATCGTTGGTCGTATGCTTCTCGTAGATGACATAGAACCAAGTAAATAACCTCTTTGCCCCCCCCCTCCCCTTTTCTTTTACGCGTGTTTGTCAAGAGGAGGAAAGCTACCCTATATCCAGAGAGCACAAATGGCCATATCAGCGCCTCCAGATAAGGCTTGTAACCGGATTACGTCCCATTAGAGCTGCAGGATATTCTTCATCAGTCGCCTATGGCGTTGTCTGTGCCGTATATCTCGATCATGTGGCCGGTATCAACTGGGCGCGCTATCGATGTCGTGTGTGAACAGCAGAATCCCATTTCTTTCTACTTCTGACTCGGGATAGATACTCTTTCGGCAGTATTCAGTCGATGCATGTTAGCCTTGGAATACACCATGGATGCTGGGTACCACCAAGTCCATAACTTTTTTTTGAACCTGACGAACCCACCACCAAGCCCGAGAAGCCAGCCGGTCAACAAGACCACAACCAACAAACTTGAGATGCTTCTTTTCCAGAGGTGAGGACCAATCTTTTGCCCACTCACTTGCAGGGCTGGTTTCTCGTATATGGTAGAGGAACTTACCATCGGCTTTGGGATGATAAATCTTGGTGCTTCACATCGCAAATTCCGATTTCTAGCACGGTGGAAGGGGGGTTTTTGATTACGGAGGCCGGCCATTCCCTCTTTAGCAAGTCCGCTATGGGAGAACCTAGCTCCCATAGAAGGGCCCAGAATATGGAAAAGTATACAGTAGGTGGCTGGGTGACGAGCGATGTAGCAAGATCTGTCCGACCTGGTCCTAGTCTGAACATGGCCAGGCTATCGCTAGAATAGGCTCTGTCATCCTTAAATATCCAGCTCGGCTTCGGATCTTTCGCTAACTGAAGTCTCTTTGTCATTGCCCTAGACAGATATCCTGAGAAATATCACTCAGGATGGCTCGTGCAGAAAGGCGAAGCTTTGCCAATGCCCCGAGTCCATCAAAGTTGACGAGAAGTAGCAGGACATGACCCAGAGTAAAAAACATCACGATGTCTCCTCGATGCCAACCAGCACGCGACCTACTGTACAGACTCTCCAGAGGGCAGAGACCAGGCTCTAGCTTCCTTTCCTTCGCGCCACGCCACTTTACAGTGAGTCTCCGCCGCATGATCCAATTGCCTAGAGCATAGCTATATTGATTTACGATATCCTCACCCACAGTCAGTTCACATATTGTGATGACAGTGACAGCGTCGGATCACGAAAATGGAATTGTGGCTTCTTGACCGCAAGCTCACTACTAGCAAGAAAGCCGAGATACCACCTTCTGCGTTCGATCACATGGGCACCAAGCACTCTGCAAGGCTGAAGCACGAGACAGAAAGCGGGCAGGCAGGTAACCGTTGATCCTGAGACGGAATGCTAAGAGCAGCTCATCCCATGAGTCTGCCATGTTTTCGTGGCAGAGAGGTGTTTCAGTGTCCAGTGTGTATAAGTTAATGTGTGAGAAATCAGGCCATCCACGATCCTTCTCCCATGTCGCGCAGCTGTACACATATCCTTGACCTTGTCAGAAGCGCTGGAATTCTTCTCCCGGAAGCTGGTTAGCAAATCAATTTTGGTCTTGTCACTGATACCGGCATACATTGGGTATTTGTTCATAGTATCCTGTGTATAGGTAGTGTATAGTATCATACATCTGATGCAAAGATCAGGTCTCATGACAAGTCTCATTCGCTCTTAAAAAAACACAGCACCATGCCCTCCACACTTGCTCACCCGAACATTGCGCTTCCTCGTTACGTGCTACTACCTACAACTTGGACGACTTGGGCGCCTTGGGTCTCTGAACCGGCGTCGCCAACGGATCGTACACAGCACCAGTGAGATTGTCGGATGGCGTGGCGCCGTGGTTGAACAAACTCCGCGTATCGACGAGTGACGGGTTGAGCTGGTCGATGCTCGTGCACCCGATGAGACGCATGTTCATCTCCATCTCGTCGCGGAGAAGCTGCATGGCGCGGTCGACACCGTCGAAGCCGTAGCCGGCCATGGCGTACAGGAAAGGCCTGCCGATGCCGACTCCCTTGGCGCCGAGGCACAGCGCCTTAATGATATCGGTAGCGCGGCGTACACCACCGTCAATGTATATTTCAATGGCATTCTCCAGACCCATGCGGCGCAGCACGGGCATCGTCTCGGCAAGGACCTCGATGCCGGACCGGGCAAAGTCGAGCTGGCGACCTCCGTGGTTGGAGAGCACCACGCCCTGGACGCCGGCCTCGATGGCCTTGATGACGTCCTCGACGCGCTGCACACCCTTCAGGATGATGGGCATGTTGGTGATGGACTTGAACCAGGGTATGTCCTTCCACGACAGGGCGGGGTCGATGAAGGATGAAATGGCGCGCGCGGCACCCTGGCTCTGATCCGTCGCCTGGCCCGACTGCACGTTGGCGCCCGGGTCGGTAAACTTGGACCGCATATCCTTCTCGCGACGACCCAGCTGCGGCGCGTCGACGGTGATGAAGAGGCCCTTGCAGCCCCGCGCCTCGGCGTGCTGCACAATCTTCTTGGTGATCTCGCGGTCCTTGTTGACGTACAGCTGCATCCACTGCACCTGGTCGCCCTCGGCGGCGTCCATGAGCTCGTCAAAGGAGCACGACGCCAGCGTCGGGATCATCTGGATGGCGTTGTGCTTGCGGGAGGCGCGCGTGAGGAGGACCTCGCCCTCCGGGTGGCCCAGCTTGCCGAGGGCGGTGGCGGTGACGTAGAAGGGCATGTCGACCTTGGCGCCGAGCATGGTGGTGGTGAAGTCGACCTTTTCGACGTCGACGAGGATCTGCGGCCGGAACCAGATTCTGTGAAAGGCACCGTGGTTTTCGCGCAATGTCTTTGGCGAATGCGTGTTAGGAATCTTTTCTGGTCTTCCGTTGGGTACGAACTAGTGGGGTTGGCTTACGATTTCGTCGTCGGCTGCACTTGAGTAGTATCCCCAAGCCGTCTTCTTCATAACTCTCCGCGCAACGGCCTCAAAGTCCATCAGGTTGTAGCATTGCGACAGCAGCGGTTTCTGCTCGACCCTTTCCAAGCGCTCGATTTCTTCGGGGTCCTCGTCCTTCGTCTCCACCGCCACAGTAGCCATGTCGACGGGGCCAAGGTGCTTGGACTGCTCGAGGTACTTGTCAAGGGTGTCGGGCGGGTGAATAGGGTCGAACTCTTCCGTCGCATCTTTGCCAGCGTACTTGAGGATGATTTTTGAGCCACCGGGGTGCTCTGAAGATCCTCGTTAGGGGAAATGGGATTTGGAGTGATTGTCGAGGCAGAACTCACCCGGCAAGAAGTCCGTCACATCATAGGCTTTGCCCTGTTTGGTGGCCAAGGTCAATCACCTATCAATTGAAACGAACCAAGACCTGATCGTAACATACGTGAACAATGACCCAACAAGAGTCAGCACTATTGTGCTTTGCAATATCATCACCCTTCAAACCCATTGTGCTTGCTGTTCGCTGCGAATGTCGCTCTTCCGGACGAAGGGAAGACAGTGAGCTTGGAAAATTGTCGACAGATTGGAAAATCCGGGGTAAGGGCCGACAAATAGGTAGATCTTTCTCCACGGGGTAGCGCTGATTTATGGGTGGCTTGCTGGTCTACTTGAATCCAAGGTATTTCAAATCAGAGAGACCGGAAATAGCACGTTCTAAAACACCAACGACGGCCAGAAGAATGGAAGAGAAGCCGACGCAGATCTAAGGGCCGGACCAAGAAGAGCAAGAAGTAGGTGTCGTCTCGCTAGTCAGTCCGAGAATCGGGTCTCCAAAAAAAGTTCCTTTAGGTTGGAAATGTTGGGGGAGGTAACTTCTTGAAG